ATTTGAAACGGGTTCAACTTCTTTTACCAAGACAATCGAGCGTGCTCGTTTCCAATTAGTAAAACAATGATAAATCTAAATGCTTAAATTCAAATAGATACAAATGAGTAAAGTGAATAAAATATTATCGAAGATTAACAGGATAAATATATATAAGTATATATATTTTATATTTTAGCAAATATTGAAAAGGTTTTCACTTTTTCCTTTACAACTCAATATCAATATAGTTATAGTTAAACTGAAAACTGCCAATAGATTGCAAAGAAATTAAATTAACTTTTTCCCGAGCGCATAGGAGCTATATTTATTCAACCTTAGAAAAGAAACAAAGTTTTTATACTTCCAAAATGTTGTGAAACGTCGGCTCTGAAATTTTATTCTTATAACTTACTCTTTATTCAACAGTAATAAGATGTAAAATCCCTCGTCGGATTGCGCATATTTCATTTAGTGGGGATCGTAAAGATTCGCTTACCTGCTTGTTTGTTGTGTACCAAAGGGGCCGTCGGGCATAGAACCTTTTTTTACATTCAATTTTATGTGTGGGAATTTTAATGTGGGTCCAAAATGGCACGTTCTTCTCTCCACAGATGGGTCACATTTGGTGTCGATACCTTGCGGAACACGTGTCGCGACTGTCATAAAAATTTAAGTTGTACTTACTGTAACCTTGAAATGGGTACACATTTTATATGACCATCGAAATAAGCAGCCGTTCCGGTCTTTGTTTCACTTATAATTTATTGTTTCGTAAAACTGGCGAAGTAACAGCTGCGTGTTTTCAATTACTGGACATGATTGATGTGTAAAACAGTTTCGTTCTACACTCGGAACGAGTTTATCGATAGATGCGATCGATATAGCGGGCCTACTATTAATTTTATCGGAGTAGACTCAACGATGCGCAGCCCACAGGACACAGAAGTGCAAGTCATCCATCTCACATTTGCCGGGATCTTGAACCGATCTCATAGAATCGTTTCAATCATTTAAAATAAACATGGCTTCCTCGAAATCGCCTTGAGAGGTAGCTATTGGACTTAACGCCGGCACAAAATCCATTTGATTTATGATATCGTTGCCGAGTTGGAGTCTTTGCATCTGCCGCATTTTACGCATGTGTTGCACCTTTCAAAACACATTATCGACAAATTTTTGGTTTTTGTTTATCCCTTTCTGTAAATTAACGAGAAGACATTTAATCGATCTTTTTAATATGGTCGTCGTAAAATTTATATATTTCAAAAGAGCATTCTAAATCGCGAATATTCAAAATTGAAGACTGTTTCTAGTTTAGACGGGCTTCTTAAATAATATTGATATAATTTAATGAATAATTTTCCATCTAACGCTTGATTTATACACTTAATCGACTAATAAGAAGTAAATAATGTTTTGAAACAGCTGGAATTCTAGCAAGAAATCCAACAAACTCACTCAGCGGGGCGCCTCAACAATGGTAACCAAATTAAAAGCAACTAAAAACATTTCGGCTTGGGTCTTGCTAAAATTTATTACACTTAGCTTTTTTCTCTTGTTTCTCTCGCTAATGAGATTCGAATGCTGCAGTCTGTATTCGAGATCTCGGACTGAGATTAAAAGAAATTCGCTCAGTTATATTCACACTACAAATTGAAAATCCTCTCTTTGTTTTGACAAATTGTTTATAAATACAACCATGATATAATAATCAGTGTATACGTATTGAAACCTTCAAGGGACTAGATTGCAGAACGCCTTATTGCAAACGGGATAAGTGCAACGGGAGTTGCTGATTGTATCAACTTGGTGTTCTGTGTAGATGCAATAAAGTCGATATTAATTTGATTGCCTGAGGCGTCGCGGGTGGTCTGGACTACGTTGACTATGTTGAAGTGAAGCGGGAATGCAAATTTCACTAATGTTTCTTGTCTTCGTGCTCTTGAACCTTGTAGCAGCTAGATTGAAGTTATTAACAACGAAGATTGCTAAAGACATTAATTCAAAAAACTATTGAACGTCCACGACGGAATATATGGGAATTATTAATGACTTTGCATTTACGTTCATGTATTTTTACGAGATATAAGGACTTAACGATGTAATTTATAAGATGATTTCATTTGAATACCATTATGATATTGCCACCTAGAGATTTTAGTGATAAAACTACCAAATATACGTTTCCAATATAATTTGAGATTTGTTGCATTTCCGCCTCATATATTTGATTACTGTAGTATTACAGAATAATTATTCAAACAAATAAAGCTTGTTTATATTAAATACTACCTCTCCACCAGCGACTGCTCACGTGGTCCTGTATCATATAATACAGTACCATATAATCTTTCTTTTAAAACTATTATATGTTGAAAATCACTTTCAAAAGATCCCAGCGTACAGACAGCTGGAAGTGACGTTGTTTTATACTATGTATGAATACTTAAACATGTAAAACAAAACTGGATGAAGGAAAATGTAAGTCGTACTAATTTTTTTCTCTTTTTATCAAACAGGCGCGCTCCGAGGGGACCACCGATGCGATCGATCTAACGCAAAAAAAAATAGGAAAATGGTGTGGAACGAATGATGCAATACGAATTAAGCGGGGTGAACTAGGCTCATGGAGTAGAGAGCCGTTTTTTTGGTGAAATTGGGGACAAAGGGACAACTGTAAAAGGGCAAAGTACCGAAGCGCGTCCATCGAGTTAGTCGAACCTAGTAAAGCTTCTGACAACATTGGAATGCCCTTTTAATCGATAATTCAAATGTATTCGATACTGAAGAGGGTATTGTAAGTTCACTTAGCAATATTATAGACAATTATAACGACAACCTTAATGTAATATGAACAAACAACTTTTTATCCGGTGCGTTCACTTAATTATATGATCCATGGTTATATTTTGTCAACGACCTACAATAGAATAACCCAAATAAAAATCTTCGGAAAAAACAACCCATTCACATTCATAAGCCATAATTTATACAGAGTACGCATTCTTAATATTTCCAGGTTATCTTGATGTATTTGTCTACTAAATTATTGAAGGTTTTTCACAGCAATTCTGAGAATGACGTAGATAGATTTTGCTTGGCAACGCGTCTGAATAAATCTACATATAGGTAGAAATTATAAATAATATTAATACTCTAGCTAATATTAAAATATACTCTATTAATTTCAACAATGATGATTTTCAAATGAATGTGGTACAGTCTAAAGCTCGGGAACCTATACCTCACGAATATCTAAGAGCGGATCGAATCCGTTCTCCCAACGTGGTTGTAAACAATAGTTCATCAAATGCGATCGTTTCACAGGCACGTCATTTCACGGACCATCGGCTGTTGGCCTATTTAGCACGTCTATTTTCTTGACGAGCACCAACCGCCGACCAATTGATTGCCTCGGCTCATACCCTCTACTGAAATTAATCGCCGTATCACTTGTTTAACTTCGGTTGCATTTTTTAAACTTTCATTAACAACTAATTATAAGTTGATAGTTGATTAGGAATATTTTATTAAATTTAAATCAAGTTGAATATAAGCAATTGAATTATGTATATTAAATGTATTAGATCTTGAGAGATTGCAATTTATTACACTTATATTAATATAATATTACAAAGTACCTACTGGGGCAACTGAGTAGTCAAGAAATGAAATACGATAACCTTTAGATTACAACAGAACTATCTCTACCGCCGACGAAACTTCTAAGAAAAAGATAAAAAAATAATTTCATCCCATGATACAAAAGGATAGAACATGAGAACAGTTTTAACCTGCAACTGATAAAATGAAAAGTGCCCATAAAACTAGAGAATTTTGTTCGTAGATAAAGTTCAAAACGCTAAAATGTAACAGTATACTGAACAAGTAAGAACTTGTTTGCATATTACGGAGCTAAAACTTCTCAGACATGTAACAATAAGTATAATAGAAGAAAACAAACTAAGATGATAGTCATTAAAAAAAAATAATTATAAAAAATGTAAAACCATATTTCAAGTAACTTTACAATAAAGGAGGCTATAAAAATTTTCATTTATTGACTCCTGAATATGTCTGGTAAACCTAAATGTATTTATGTAGGCTCGTAACTAGCAAATTAGAAATTAAAACATGATACTTTTTTATAGTTCGGCTTTAAACTTAGGACCAAAACAAGTATAATATAAAACAAGTTTGATAGTTTAAATATTCACTTTAAAAAAGGAACAAAGAAAATAATTATCAATATAACCTTTTTCCAGTTCTTATTTCATATAATTTGAAAAAAAAAGCTATTAGGCTATCCTAAGGCGAAATTGGGAAACTATCGTAGAATGATGTAATCATTTTCTCGGTGGCAAATTTTTCGGCTCCGATTGCAAACTTCTGATAAGTGTATCAAAGAAGACTAGTAAAGGGGATCACGTCGAAGTTCCTCGCCGTCCCAAGCTCTGGTGCTTCTCACATTCGGGGAGAGCATGATTTATAGGCCAAAGTTGGCCCATTACTCATCTCACCATTCGTTACTCCAATAAAAGAACGTCTTCCAATAATTTATTGGCGTGCTATGGATTTTTATTATACTTGTCTATTTTTGAGTGCACTCAAACTTGGAGTAGTATGGTCGTAAATAAAAAGTTTTAATTCAAAATCTTTGAGTTATAATTTAAGTGTGAACACTAATGGAACGCATGGTCGAACGTTTACAACTTCGAGTAGATAAGAGATATCTAAATTGATACTATATGGAAGTCTCGTTTGGAATTTAATATAAAAGCTTTAAGAATAAGGGACAGCTGATATAAGAGGCAGGTGGTAAGGTTTTTGAATACCTTGCTTATAAATAATTGGTGAGGTCTCTATCTCCAAATATAACAATGTTGATAACTCACTTATCGTCTTTTAAAGTTCAATGAATATATTATTATAGTAAGGTATCCAAAAACTAATAAAATACCAAGAGTTATTTGATAAATAGTGAAACTTAAATGTGTAATGTAAACATTAGTCAGTACCTGTTTAATTGTTGTCATGCGTTGTCAACTTGCAGCAATCTCCTTTCGCAAAGTAACTAAGAAAAGTTTAAACTTTCCGAAATAAAGAGAATAATCTTCTCTATCGAGAAAAGAAAATGACTGGACTAAATACGTCACCTTGATACGAGTATCAAATCTCAGTCACCACTATACAACTGAAAAAAGCACAAAAGAATCAACTTTCGGAAAAAACTTGCACTTCACTAAAAGTTGTGGCAACAACTTTATGAGTTCGTTAAGTTTGGTAGAAGTTGTCTATGGTCGTATAACACTACACAATTATTATGGTCGCACAAGGAATAATCACTCGAAGTGGCTAGACCGGTTGCCGAGCGGGCGGTGTATCGTCGGGCGCGGAGGGGCGTGCAATCGGGGCGACAGCTCGCCACTCTCTGCTCGCGAAGCCCCTTAGCGAGGGGGCCGACAGACGAAAATGGCTTCACAAGTTAATTTTTTTCTCTTTCCTCCTTTAATATTCCGCATATGCCGTGCGCGTTGAACTGCACGCATGCGTCCGACCTCATGTAGGGGTTGTAATGTAACTCGATGCACCCGCACTTTACATAACTTATTGGGCCGTTTATCGGTGCCTATTTAATACCCTTTTCATGTAGGCTTTGTGTTGCCTCCTAAAGCGTGAATATTAATCCTCGTTCAAACGGTAACTTTCATTAATCTCAATGATACGTCAATAGACCGAAAAGTTTGGTGAAATTTTGATTAGGTAAACAGTAAACAATATTGAATATACGACTAAGTAACGTTTAGCTGTTATAACCAGAAAACAAATTTTCGTTACCATTACGAACGCAGTCCAATCCATCATGTCTGTCGCAATTTCTTTATGAAGTTCAAAGACTTTATAAGGAAGGAACAACAGCAAACAAATGGTTCAATGAACTAATAAATAAAATATGATCTCTGTAAATCGATTCATAAATATATACCATAGTCATCAAAAACATTGTCAGTTTGTAATCCGTCTCGTTGGACTCTGAACTTAGTAAGTTTAGTTTTGGAAATATTATATTAATTCTAGTAAGATTATGACCCTACGATATTTACAAATTTTTACAATTATTTACAACTTAGATGTGGCGACATCTTAAAACCGGCTGTGCGATCACTCGGCCATGGAAGTTTTCAATAATATTAAAGCAAAAAGAAACTTGCTATAGCTACTAACTCAATTTCTTACATCTTCGGTGGTTAATTAATAACGAAAATGCTAAGATACTTTATGATAGCCCAATTTACACTGTATTTTATGGATCTACCTCGGAACTCTTAGTGCCTAAATAAAAAATGAATTCCAGCATGGAAACGGAATAAAACATTTACAGTGTCCCACTTGCCCACCATTAGCATAGCTATTACATTTATTTTGTATCAGATTTAGGATTCTATAACAAATTACTGAGTTAATTATTTATAATGAGAGCTAAAGCTTGTGTTATTCATAATATCGACGGCAGCAAAGATCAAACGGACAACTATATTTTTGGTCAAATTATCTTTTTTGTATAAAACGCGCTATACGATCACGTAATTTTCATGCTTAAAATATTATTACTTTTCGAAATATGCTCGCGTACATAAATATAACTAAATACCAATTTCACAAAGCAACGATGTATATACGGACGTTTGTAGTAGTCCGCATGTACTTCGGTTAAGTAAAAAGTTGACAGCCAAGTCCGATTTGACAAGGCGAATTTGTAAGGCCTAAAGACCTAGCAAATAGCCCCTTGACTGTTTCAGAATAAAACACATGATATAGATACTAATGTATCACCAGCAAGTTTCGATTTTCAAACAATCCTATGTGCTCACTATATCTCTTGTTGAAAAAAGGCTCTTTCTACTTTAAATGCTTGTTATCAGTCTTTACTTTTACATACTTTGATATGAGCACTGAAGGCGGGATAAAATTTTACCAAGCGAGGTTCTAACGAAGTAACCGGCTGCTTATACCGCTTTATACCACAAGTTTTTAGTAAAGTTCGCAAGAACTTGATAGTGATGGGTTAATAGTAAGACCTAAAAACAAAATGATATACAGCTCATGAATACTTGTGTAAGATGGTGTAAATGTTTCTTTAATGGTGTTAATTGTTACATACGTAAATGATTTAAATGAATTGCAGTCAATGTCTTTAGAATATTTTCGACCAGTAAATACTAGAACCTATAACATACATACTCACACAACCGCTAACTTAATCTTGTTCTCGTTGCTAGCAAAACTTGACTCTTGAAACATTCAAAATATAAAAATAAAATCTATAGAAGCAGCAATTGCCATTGACGAAGAATATTGTTTTGTTCTAGTGTAAATTTTTCTTTCTTTCTTCTTAGTAGGACACTCTTGTCAGAGTGATCGTGGTTGCTTTGATAAGGATGGGGAACAAGGAGAATATAAGATTGTTGTTATCGGTTTTAACGAAAGCAAACCTCCGAACGATACATCTCCACCTTTGCCGGTTAACAGCATCACGGACAATGGTAAACTTAGTAGCTCAACAAGCCTGTCCATCGAACCAATTATATTTGATCAACTTTTAAAAACTCAGTCCTGTAAACTTGTATTTTTGTAGATATCTGTATGTAGATATCCACCAGTTTATGAATTAAAAACGAATTTCTTACTTAAGTTACTAATTTTAATAGGGTACTTCATTATCGCCAGCCTATAAATGTTGTACGTACAGAATTACATAAGAAGAACGGGCCATAAACCACCAATTGGGACCGATGCGGACTGATAGTTGTCTGAAGGTGTGGGCGGAATCAATAGCTTTATGTGCCTTTTGAAGCTCAAGATAACCAATTTTTAGTCACACATCTTATGACCGACTTTTACGTTACTCTCCTCAAACGCATACGAATACGCTAACTATTACGTTATTATATATGTATCCTACATACTTGTATATTATGTCCAACAAAATATCCAAATATTTTAACAATAAAGATAAACTAAAACAAATAAGCAACAACAAAGAGTATTTTTAAAATAAGACTATAATAGAATTGAACCTATAACGAATATACGTTTTTAAAAGGCATGTTTTTTATATTCAGATAAACCAAGAGTAAGCTAAGTTTTTGCCGTTAAGTTATTGCCGACAATCGATTGTAAAGATCGTTGGAATTAAAACTTTTTATAAAAACCTATTTTTAGACCGAACAAAATATTCATGATGCTTTAGAACTGAGACAGTTTTTGTTCACAGCTTTTAGTAATTGGTTATGGTAGAAAATATTGTAATATTACTTAAATAAATTCCGTATTGGATAGTGTACTTTAGTGGACAAAAGCTTTAAGGAGTTTCCTGTGGTTCATAATTTCTATAGGTCATCATCAAAATTGGTACATTAAAAATATCTAGAGCGTGTAGAGCAGGAGAGCGCTCTTCCAACTTAAATCTTGGAAAATCAAAACAATTGAAGAAACTTGAGCTAACTGTCTAATAAAAAAATCTTTAGCAATAATTTTCAAAGGTATATCTTATATTCTAATAGCAATTTATAGAATTATATTACTTTCATCATCATCATCATCAATTCAGCCGAGAGACGCTGAATTGATGATGATGATGATGGCATTGGCTTCCCCCAAAGCGATCGGTCCTGCGCCTCCCGCATCCAGCGGCTTCCCGCGACCTTCACCAGATTGTCGGTCCACCATGTGGGGGACCTCCCAACACTGCGTCTCCCGGTACGCGGTTGCCACTCCAGGGCCTTACCGCCCCAACGGCCGTCAGTCCTGCGAGCGATGTCCTGCATGCCCTGCCCACTGCCACTTGAGATTCGCAATTCTTTGGGCTATGTCGGTGACTTTCGTTCTTCTGCGCATCTCATCATTTCTGATTTGATCTCGCAAAGAAACTCCGAGCATAGCCCTTTCCATTGCCCTCTGAGCGACTTTGAGCTTCCTTATAAGGCCGTCTCAGTACCGTATGTCATCACTGGCAACACGCACGAATTGAAGACGAAAGTCTTCAATTCGTGCGTATGTATGTAACTCTGTAATAAAGACGAAAGTCTTCAATTCGTGCGTGTTTATATTATTTCTATTATTTCTCGATATTACTTTAAAGTAATATAATTCTTTAAAATATAATTCTTTAAAGTTGCAATCGCTTTTCAAACGAATGATGATTTCAACTATCAAGAAACAGGGAAAAGCCTTTCTATATCTATACCAGTCGAAATATTACAGTTAGCATACAACTATTTCGATTGACAATACTGAATAACTTTCAAAAATATTTTATATTAGACAATTCCAATTAACGTTAATCATATCGTTCATTCAATTTCTTTCAAAAATCGTCGCGAGCGTGTTCCTGATCACATACTAAATAGTTGTAGCGTGAGGTTTGTGAATATCCTTCTAATGTCAAATTGAAAAGTTTTATGTTAGACAATTAGCCCCTGATTAGTAAGTTATTTAGGATGCTCGGGCTTCGCGTTCTGTGTCCAAAAAAGGAAATGGTGCTCCCATGATTCTAAAAATTAAAGAAATTACTCTTTTTTTTTACGTTTATACACTAGACTTATTGTATTGGATTACCTGAATAATATTCCTGACCTGCGGAAATTGAATTATTAGCGTACTTAAATCACAAATATCATTTGTCAATATATATCATAAAATGTATGTAACTCTGTAATAAAATATACATAGATAAAAAATTTAAGGCTATCATTAATTTCTACAGAAAAAGGAAAATTTCATATCATAAGAATGATACTATTACTGTAAAAACATATTTATCTCCACAAAATCGTAGCAGATAATTTGTAGTTTGTATGTACATATACAAAATATGACCATTTCAGCATCCCAACTTACGTTAGGAAATAGGGATGATGACTAATTTTTGTTTGTTTGTCCGTCAGGTAGAGTGTTAAAAAATATTAAACACGTATTTTTTTATTTTTTTCGTAATCATAAAATTACGGTGTTATATTGAGTTGAAATTTCGCATGACGTCACGTTAGAGTACGTTTTCTACTCAACTGTGACGTAGCGAGCCCCCACTCCTCAACTTTAATGCCTGTTATCTATACTATTTCTTGTTAAATTGAAGTAAAAAAAAATACGTATCTAATATTTTTCTATTATCTGACTGACGGACTTAATAGAATTGCATTTTGTTTACCCAGTCATCATCCCTATTGTATTTCAATAAAAACCTTAAAGATAAAAATAGAACCGACCGATTTCAAACTTTAAAAATATGATAAATAATATTGAGACTTAAATAGCATTTTCTTGAATTAGAATAAGAAATAAGCTTTTGAGATAAGCATTATTTATCATATTTTAGAAGACGGTTCAATTTTTTAAAAGTTTTTATTTCATGCTTTTTAATGATATTGATA